TCGGCATTGTTTATATCTGCTGTTCATATGTCTAATTTCATTCACTATCACATTCTCATCAAGTTATAATGATTTTATTGAGCTTCTTTTTCTCGGAATCCACAGTAGATTTTCGCGGGCGGAATGCAATCTCTGAACGCTCTCTGGGATTAACAGTTACGGATCTGCTGTATTTTCCTGTTTAACTGGTTCAGTTATTTTTTGTAAGTAGCTTCCAGGGTCAAACCCTTCCAGTGCTTCACTGCCATGCACCCTACAACCTACTGGTGAACCGACTAAATTTACGCTTGCTTGTAGAATATAAAGAATACCGATCCCAGCAAAATGACAGACAAGCGCACCAACCAGTGGGTGTTCTGAAAGACAAAACGTAAAATACGATCTTCATGGCGGCTCTATTACGTAAGTTCAATAGTGCACTTGTATTAGTCTGACTACTCAAACCAGGCCACTTTGAAGAGTTGACCAATCAGAACGTTACTTGAAAATCAAGGATATAGATCTTTTCCTTAAATAAACCAAAAACATACATTGAAGCTAGAATAGGAACAACAGATCTTAACAAAATCGAAAACCCAACGAAGTGCGAAGTGTTGTGCGCCTCTCGGGAAACTTTGCCATTTGTTGGTTGACTAGTGGTTTCGATCCTAAATTTTGTACGCTTTACAACGGTTTCCAGGTTTCGCTGTAGCAAAATGAGTTTTAGAGCTAAATTTTACGAGCGAGATTTATAATTATGATAATTCTCAGTCAAGGACTGAATCTCTTAGAGGTCCTTAGAATGTCGGCTATAACGCACAGGAGTGTGTATTTATGTTTTCGTGTCAAACAGACCCCTATTACTTGCCAACACGAGAAAGCTTCCGATCCGTTGTTCTAAGTTTACGTTTTGATTGATTAGTTTTCTTCCGGATGGCCCGGTTGAGCCGGTTCGACTCGTCGCACTGTAAAACCTTGCTACAGTACTGAGCATTTGAACGCGGCCAAAGCCCCTTACCAGCTTAGAACTTGGAAATACTGAAGAAAAGAAACACGTCAGTTCGTCATTCAACATTGAACCGTCGATTCTAAATATATCGTAATTTTGCTGAGTTTTATTAAACTGAGAGGGGAATTCCTCTCAAAGACGTGAATAAATTATTTTGTTTAAAGTTCTGCTTAAATATAAATCTGATTTGAAATTCTTATAAGATAAAGCCACCTTTCTGCTCAAAAGTCTGCACAAAATTCTTCTTTAAAAGATAGAGCTGACTCTGCTCGACATTCTTCTCGCTGCTTGGTGAAATGATCTTGGAATTTTGCAGGATGGTTAGTGAAAGCAGTCATTTTTTATTCTTCATGACCCCATGTTTCACTTTCGATCGGTTTTTCTTTCACATAATCAATGCTTTTTTTTTCATCACTGAGCAGGCTTCCCTTTCTTTCCTACTGAATGGTTTATTTTATTGTATGTCACTGGTATCCAGTTTTCTGCTCGGAATGAAATTCCTTGTTTCTTGAAATGAAATTCCTTCTCCCTCCATTATGTTCTGCTTGAAATGAATTGCAATATTTAGCGGAGTCTACACAGTTTAATTTGCTTTAAATCAGTCTGCCAGCAATCCAAAGATAGAAAAACATTTCTCAGTAAGCTAAGAGTACTTTTCGACAATCTTCATAATTCGAGTTACTCTTGCTCTATCAATTCTGATTGATTATTCTTTAACGCAAGTTTCTTGGATTATCGTGAGTTAAATAAGTCTATACGAATTCTTCTAAACACTGCTTTAAAATAACAACACTAACCTGGCAGTAGATAGATATCCATTAAGTGCCATATTCCTATCCAGGAAGCCACCACTCCGAAACCAAGAATGTACACAAATACCTGCTCTAGCGATCGACTCAACACAGAATATGGCGGAGTCAGTTTAATGGTTATAATGAACTCACTCAGACAATAGCACACGGTCACCACAGCGTACCCCAAGCCAACTAATGCAACCCATGATATAACATTGTGGGTTGGGGTAACCATTGTAGCGACAATAATCAGCCAAGTTCCTCGCCAATAGCATATCACCGCACCTCCAATTATGAACACGGTAACAAAACTATTCAACATCCTGGAGGTGATATCAGCACAGGCAGTAGTTCTGATCCTCAAATATTTCTTTCCAACCAGAATACCTTTTGATAAATCAATGTGTCTTTCGCTGGCACAGTAGCCAGGAATT